ATATTAAGGTATTTATAAGTCCAAGCTAATAGTAAATCTAGTCTGAGAAGCAACCAAAATATGGTCGACGAATATTTTAAATACCTATAATTAAAAATTCATGTTAAAACGCTATAAAGGCGAAGTAGTATAGAGCAATAAAAAGCATTTGAGTAAGCTAAAAACATAGCTATACAAGAGACGAGGGCTTCTATAAATCTTTCCCTCTATGTCTTTTGTTAGCACCAAAAGGTAAAGAGTATTACACATCCAGCTTTGGACTCGTGTCTCGAGATCGACTTATAATAGATGCGACCAGGAGAGATATGCAAGATGAAAATAACTTGTGAAGTAAATCCACTTCATTTTTATCACATCGTCCAATGATTTGATCTATACTCGGCCAAGCATAAAAAATTACCTCTTCGAAATGTAACTATGCTGGGTTGATAGATGCTTTTTGGTAAAGAAAGAAAAATAAAATAAAGCTTACCTTTCACTCAGCAAAAGGTGAAGTAGAATAGTTAAGCGACTCGAGCCATGATGCCCAACCCGCATTGGTGACTTGAAAACCATTTGTAGATCCTAGAGTTGAATGACGCTGAGCCGAAGTGTAAACGCGACTTGCAGTCCGCACAGAGGTTTTATAGGTGTAGAATGAATAACTTGAACTTGTAAACATGATAAAACGGCCATTATGTTCCCTGAAAGAAAGCGGACTGTTCCTGACATATTAATGCCAAAAAGTTGAGATAGGTTCAATTGTCTTAAGCTGTTGAGCCTGTGTTAAACGATGAAGCATCTTTTTCAATGGTGAACCGCAAAAACCGATCAAAAAGATGACGATCAGTCGCGGCAGACGAAGACGGTGCAAAATTGTTTTCAGAAGGCCTTGTAAAATGGAAATAAAAAATTTTTTCTCCAAACTAACCAACCTGAAATGAAAGTAGTCATCATACCTATGAACTCGAAATAGCCCGCCCTCATTAGCAAAGATGCTCCTTAAAGCCCATGGTAGTAGATACTTCCAGCTATTCAGGGTTCCAATTGATGGCGATCAGGCCAAGCGTAAACTTCTCCGAAACTCGCCAACACTCACCTTCTCTAAAACGTTATATTTTCGAAGTACATTGATGGCCTCTGCTCTTCTTCGATCTTCAGGCCATTGGGAATTGATCACAGTTGGACCACTGGCAATGATCTCAAGCGAGTCACCAATCACATCGGAAAGAATAAGACCAAGAACCTGAAAGGCATAGAATATAAAGACCAAATTAATAACTATTTCTGAAATTTTATGAAGATGATGGTTCGGGAAAGCATGGCTGATATTAGTAGAATCAGTTATCGCTTTGCATTTTCAGGACGAATATTCTTAGTGCTAAATTCATGCAAGGTGAAACCTTCCTCTATTTCAATGTAGGCAGAAGGTTTATGGCACCAAAGCGACAGTGTGAACATAGGTTAAAGCTAAAAGTACTTATTCTTGCAGTAATGAGACATTAAAAGTGAATGAATTTGATGCCAATTTTTCTAGAAATTTTAAAACGATAACAATCTCGATCTTCAGTAGAATAATCCTTTCACAATTAATGGAAATCAATAAACAAGCTTATATTAATAGTACGTCAATAATTGTTATACAATAGATGTTTTTTTAAATTCAGTTAGCTGTTAGCCTTTTTGGTTATTTATGACAAGGTATTTTCAAATATAGCATATTTTAAATACATATAAAATAAGAAAATGATAGATTCCGAAATTATCGATATATTCTGAATGAGAACCAGTCATCATAATTGCTTAAGGCGATGTAAGAAATAACGATAGAAAGTTCAACAACTAAGTAAGCGTCACGATGACTTTTCACTTTATTTTTCCTTGAATCCTAAAATGCTGTTATCCGTGCAAGGGCAATATGAGTGAAACGACTTTGTAGCTAAATTCCTCACAGCCCTAAAGATGCCAGTCAAAGTAAAAAGCTAGCCACATAAATAGATATAATAAAATGAAATATAGTAGAGAATTAGAAGTTGCTTGACCTTGTTTTTGCTACTTGGTCGCATCGTCAGAAGGACCTAGAGAAACGCACCTTGTCCGGATCCCATAGTATCAATAACAATTTCTAGCGTCGTTCCGTAGACTTGATACATTCCCATATGTTTCGCAGACGCCGACATTATCAGTAAGCCCTGCTAGTCTTGGCACTACATTACAACTCTTCAAAGAGAAAAGTAAGGGACCCACTGATGATGCCAACTACAATGCCGGCAAAACTTTTGAGAATGTATCAAGTCCACGGTCGGACACTGGAAATTATCATGCATACTAGTAACTACGGACAAGTGCGTTCCTCTAGGCCTATCTGACAATACGACTAAATTGCAAAAGCAAATTCAAACAATTTCTATACAACGAAAGGAGACTGCGATTATACTAAAGGCCATATTATCTTGGTCTTTATACCTTCGATTAAAAAGAAATAATTGAGATTTGGGAGTACGAATCGCATCCTAGATTAAGGAACAAATTAATTCAAAATTCATGTGCTTTAGCACTGTAATATTTAGCTACAATTACTATAAATTATCGGTCAAGGAGTTTAGAAACAGATAGAGTAGCAGTAAGTAGATTCCTTCCCTTAACATAAAGGAGATCAAAAAGAAGGCGATTTAGGGATTTCATACCTGGGCAGGATAGGCTTTGCGAGCCAAACCGCCTGCTTTCATCTCATCGAGACAACTTCGAACCGAGTTGAGCTGGCAAAAAATTAGAAAAACATTCATTAAATCTATTGTTGATTACTAATTAGACATTTTAAAAATGTCTAATTCCATTATTTTAATCACGCATAACGAAAGCACAATGTACAATCTAAATCATTGTATAGTTTTTAATCTAGCATTTTATGGAACTCTTAACAAAGGGAATCTTTGCCAAAAAGATTACATATGACATTATTAATATAATTCTAGTAATTTAAAAAAGAGTAAATCAAGGAAAAAGCAAGATGTACAACAAGCATCCACTATATTTGTATTTAGAATATGGTCGCGTGATGTAGTCGTGTCAGCAGACACCTAAAGTCTGCAAATAAGATTATTTATCAGAGTATAAAAGCTTTAAATGAAAGTAAGCAACCATCGAATGTAAAATTAAGTAAATAAGCATAAATAAAGTCAAAATTATGGTCTGAAAATGCTGGTAAGAGCAAAGTTATTAAAAACAAATGCGGGAGAACGATGAAATACAAGAGTAGTAGTTTGGACTACTAATGAGTAAGCACCATCATTTGAGAGAAGCTTTGAAAGCGAAAGAAACATGAGGAAAGGATGTAAACAGGAGAAGATATGAAGACTTTGATTTCGTGTGGAAGTACATGCTGAAGAGATTCGTAGATCAATCCCACCAGAAAACGTCGGCTTATTCACGGCTTACTGCAGCCGTGTGGCATTAATACGATGTTCAGGTTGATGCAAACCCGCGAAAACGTGCTGAGCTTTAGTTTGTCATGTGATGAATAATCTTTAGAGCTGGGACTCATTCTTGGAAAAGCCTCAAGTTAACACTAAATCAAAAAAACTAACCGACATTTTTCCATATGAAATAAATACTCAATGCGAGTAAAATTTAAGATATAGATGGATATAGAAAGGTTTGGTTAATTCATGTATACTAGAGTGAATCTATGTATGTATATGTATGCTAACGTCTTTACGCAAGCCGGTCATAACTAAGAGTAATAAGAAAAAAGCTTAACCTCAGCCCCGAATCATCAAAGCTTAATGACCCAAGGATAAAAAGGAAAATATGGATGACCAAGATCGCGTTAGTTCGTAGGTAACGCTGCCTAGTGACGAGACGTAAGTCTGTACACGCGAAAGTCAGGTTACGAAACCACTAGTCCGAACCCGTTAGTCTGAGTTATTAAGGTTTGATGACCAAAGGAGAGGTTTGGCTGGGGTTGCATGACCCCGTCGGTCGACCCGCCAAAGATTATCGGAGAATTAAAATGCTTGTAAAGGGAACTGGGTCGAACAGTCGGAAGTGGCAGAACACATGACGGAGACTGAATATGAGAAAAAATGGTCTCGTACGCAGAGCTTTGCTGATTATGGTATGTCTACTAAAAAACGCAGGATAAGAATGGCTATTGAAATTAACAGATTAAAAAATAAGTTGAATGTGAGGAATGTTGGTAGAAAGTTGAGTAAGAATTACGTATGCTTGATTAAAAGATTAAAATAGAGAAGTATTGAGCCGCCGTTCAATTAAAAACGACTAAACTTGTCAACTGAATGATGGTTCTAATCAAATTAACACTCGTTCAGCAGGAATGTTAAGCTCATCAGCCAAAGCAGACATACGGGGCTACACAACTCTAGCCAAGCCTCTCCTTTGGTCAACAAACCTTAATAACTCAGACTAGCGGGTTCGGGCTAGTGGTTTCGTAACCTGGCTTTCACGTGTACAGATTTACGTTTCATCACTTTAAGCAGTTACCTACGAACTAACGCGATCTCGGTCATCAATTTTTTACTTTTTATCCTCGGGTCATTAAGCCTTGGTGACACTGGGCTGACTCTTACTACTCTGAGTTATGGCCGGCTTGAGTAAAGACGTTAGCATAGATACACACACAGACACTCAAGTATACGTGAATTAAGCAAACCTTTATATATCCATCTATATCTTAAATTTTGCTCGTAATGAGTATTTATTTCATATAGAAAAAAGCCTATTAGTCTTTTTAACTTTTTG